AAGACATATTTTGAGTTTATGCAAAAAAATACAGCCTTGATCCCAGTGCCTGTTGAGCGTTCTATAGCTTGTGAATTTGTTCTAAAGACGGATTTCCGCTGGCACGTGGGTAACATTCGCAAACTTTTATTTTCCGTTTATGCAAGATCAGCTCCTGGCAAAAGCCAAACTAGGATACAATATCGCAAAGCCTCTTCTGTGTTGTGTGCATTGAAGTTTTGTTAAATATCAACAGCATCTTTAGCTACAGCAAAAATTGTAAATACTGAAAATTCTGGTTTTTTCGCTTTGCAAAAGTACTAGTTTGGTAATTTCCATTCTTACAAAAACTATGTCAGCCATTTCCAGCCAAATAAAGTGTATTCTGTAGAGAATGAACGCAGCATCATGTGGCATAAAATTAAAATCAAAACCACCAATACCTTTGTAATTGCAATACTGCAAAGTTAGGCTCCCAGATTTTTGCCGCACCCTGTAGAATCCCAATAAATAGGCACACCAGGAGAGCCACAGAGACCAGGACACGCATCAAATGGTGGAGATTGAAAGGCAACAACGCGGCGAAACAAACACTGCAAACAACTCTACCACGCTTGCAAGATAACCCAGATCAATTCTGGAAAAGCTTGAAAGATTGAGTCCACGAAGTGGCACAAATGATCCTGGGAAGTACGAAGCCAGGAAAAAGAAGTATCAATCGAGAAACGTGGTGGTGAAATGAGGAAGTGCAGAAAGTCATAAAGGAGAAGAGGAATGCGTACAAGCGATGGCATAAGACGAATTTGGAGGACGATCGTCAGACGTACCAACAAGCCAAGCACGCTGCGAAGGCTTCTGTAAAGAATGCAAAACAGGTGTATTTGAAAGAGCTCTACGACCACCTAGAGTCTCGCGAGGGAGAACGAGAGATATACCGGATAGCAAAAAGAAGAGCGGAATTCACAAAAGATATGGAACACTTCCTCCATTCAAAGACAAACTTGGTAGAGTGCTAAGAAAACCAGAGGACATCACCGAGAGATGGAGAACTCACTTCGAAGAAATGGCCACCACAGACCGCACCACCATCAACTCCATCTCGGAAGCCAGTCCCATACAAGGATCAGTACCAGCGGTCACGGAAGAGGAAGTATGGCTAGCCATAAGAAAAACGAAGAATGGCAAAGCGACTGGTCCAGACGACATACCAAGCGAGTTCTGGAAAATATGTGGACAATCCGGGGCCACATGGCTAACGAGTCTCCTCAATCAAGTCGTAAGGAGCAAGAGTATGCCTCGCGACTGGTACACCAGCACAGTTTCCGATATGGAAGAACAAAGGAGACTTAGCAGACTGCTCTACCTACCGACCAATCCGACTGATGAGCCACACTCTAAAAATCTTCGAGCGAATAATCGAAACGCGTCTTCGAGATATCATAGAGTTGTCACCAAATCAGTGCGGATTCGTAAAAGGAGTAGGTACAATCGACGCAATCCACTCCGCCCGGATAGTAATGGAAAAGTATAGAGAGAAGCAGAAGGAATTGCATGCAGCCTTCCTGGACCTGGAGAAAGCTTTCGATAAGGTGCCCCATGAAGTCATAAGGTGGGCCTTACGGAAACACAGAGTGCCAGAGGAATACGTTCAGTGGATAAAGTTGATCTACTACAACGCTTCAAGTCACGTGCAAACAGCTGCAGGGCAATCGAAAGAATTCCTAATTAAGGTCGGAGTGCACCAAAATTCAGTTCTATCTCCCTTGCTCTTCATCACTGTGATGAGCGCCGTGATGGAACCGCTCAGACGCGATCCTCCTTGGACAATTCTCTACGCAGATGATATGGTCTTGGCAGCAAGTTCCAGAAAGGAGCTACAAGACGAAGTGCAAATCTGAAAGAACAGGCTAGAGTTGTTTGGCCTGAAGCTCAACATCAGGAAGACAGAGTATATGGAAGTGGGGAAACAGAGTCCTGGTACCATAAGCATCGATGGTGAAGAGCTAAAGAAGACAACGTCACATAAGTACCTAAGCACTCACGTCTCAGCGAAGGGAGGCTTGCAAGAGGAGGTCGCAAGCAGGATGAACACAGCATGGATGAAATGGAGAGCCTTAACAGGAGTTCTGTGCGACAGAAGATTGCCAGGGCAACTTAAGTCCCAACTGTACCGCACCGTCATCCGGCCAGCAGCACTGTATGACGGTGAATGCTGGCCATGTGCGCGAAGTGAGGAGCGCAAGCTCAGTGTCATGGAAACAAGGATGCTACGATGGGCCTTAGGAGTCACACTAAAGGATCACATCTGCAATGACACCATACGAGCGCAAATGAAAGTAGCTCCAATTGCCCAGAAAATGCACGAAAAGAGGTTACGATGATATGGGCATGTGCGCAGAAGGGATGAAATTCACATCAAGCCCTGGCTGTGGAGGCGCCAGGCAAACGACCCAGAGGTAGACCCAAGATGAGGTGGATGGACAGAATCAAGGCCGACCTGCGAGAACTTGGTATAGATGAAGACCTTGCCTCAGATAGGACGACATGGGGACGTCTCACAAGAAAAGCAGACCCTGCGTAAGCGGGACACATGCGAGGATAAAAAAAAACGACCTCCATAACTTTACGCTGTTTAGTAGATGTAAGGAGCGCATTTTCTTTTTTAAATACACAACTATAATAGTACGTGGTCAACTTTTATCTGAAACTCTTTTACTCTCAATAACGGATTTATTCACCTTATCGATTATTATAATGTGCTGGACAAATATAGGTCCACTCTAAAAAATGCCATAACTCACTCTGTTGTCAAGGAAATGTTCCAAGATTTGGTACAGCGGTGTGTTTACCAGTGTTTACCAGCCCATATCAGTCAACAAAATATGTTTCGCTTTTGTTTGGTTATTCAAGAAAAAATCAAATATTTTGAAAAAGGCAGGTTTGAAGGCTGTTCAAAATTATAGGTCCACCTGGAGTTTTTACTGATTGAAGCACTTCCTAGCTTCCGAAATTTTTAGGAAGGTACACGTACAAAAGCGTTTAACAGCTGCTCTAGTCAAGCTGTGTCTTACCTCCAAAAAACCGATTATTTACTTTTTTTGCCTTGAAAGTGCTTTCACATGAATTTCGCTCCAGAAACCTGTTTTGAGTAGAACTGCAGTTTCTTAGCAGGGTTGAAAGCAGGGGTTTGTCTACCTTCCGGATGTTTTTTGATGCGAGCATTGAGAAAAAAATCCGACATTTTGCTGCTTAAGTAAATTCAACATCGACGAGCGTAAGCCCCAGTTTCTGCCCTAAAACCCATAATGCATTCATTATGACCTCAAGATATTGTAGAAGCATTTTCTACACAAGAATAAAACTGTTCGTTGTAATCGCAAGTGTTCACAATGCTGCCTTGCTTCATTTTCGAAATTTGAGTTGTGCAATGTAATTATGATTACTCACTTCCAAAATAGCTTGCCAAGGGCTATCTAACATACAAGGGAAGGATGGTAGGTCGAAGTGGCCTTTTGAGATGGATTGTATATAAAGATTGAGAGCACGACACGCTGATTCCAAATATGTCTTCATTATCTGCGGCGCATCTTAAACGAGAAATTATGAACGTTTATCGGAGATAAAAATCAAATGTGCCAGCAATATAGAAACAGTTGTAACATTTTTCCTAGCGTTTAAATCAATGGTCTAATTCAAGCACTGGTAAAATTTTTGCAACTTTACCCCAAAAAATATTCGTTTTTTGCTCCTTCAAACGCTCATAACTGCTCGTCCTGGAACGCTCCGCAGATAATGAGGACCGATTTGGAATCAGCATTTTAGCCCTCAACATCGTATACAAATCATAAAGGCCACTTAGACTGACCATCCTTCCCTTGTTAGATATTTGGCAGTCATTAATTTACTAAATAGTGAATACAGCTTGAGTGTTAGCACATGATTCTCTTGAAAATTTTGGTCGGAGCCACAATTAGCTTTGGTGTTTGTCGTAATCAGTTTTCACAGGGTAATTTCAGTAATTATACTCGAATGCTAGGATCTCTAGAAAGTTGTAGCCATGGCATACGGGATCCTCTTCATAGAAACAATGCCTTTACTCTACTTAATGCTTCTTGGACATTGTAAAAGAAGTTTGAAGGCAGAAATTTGAGCTCAGGATTGCAGTATCGCCAATGTCCGACTTGTTTCAACAGCAAAAAAGTTAGTTTTTTCCTCAATGCTCACGTCTAAAAGCATCCAGATGGTAATTAACGCCGTCGCTCCCGATCTAGCTGAGGAACTGCAAAATTTCCTACCCAACACAGGTTTCTGGAGCGAAATACACGTGAAAGCATTTTCCAGTCAAGAAAGCAGATCTTTTGAAGGTATAACACAGCTTAAATATAGCCGTTTAATACTTTTGAATGTGGAACTGCCTGAAAAATTCGGAAGCTAGGAAGTGCTCCAATCAGCAAAAACTCCAGGTGGACCTATAATTCTGTCCCGTTTCCAATCGTACTTTTTTCATGATTTTGAATTTTTTCGTGAATAACCAAACGAAAACGAGACTCAATTTGATGACTAATAGTAGACCGGTAAACACGGCTGTACCAAACTTTGGAACATTTTATTGACAACAGAGTGATATGGCTTTTTTCAAAATAGACCTATAATTTTGTCTAGCACTGTATCGTCCCCTGAACTGGGCTTGGGATGACGTGGTGATTTTTTGTTACTGTTGTGTTTTTGTGTGACTAACACTTTGACCTTATGATTTGGAACGCCTCGAGAGTATGATGAATGAACGAATATTGATTAGGCAATTCTCTGCCAACAAAAATCCTCAAAAAAGCTGAAAGTTTATTGTCCATCAAACGACAGTTTGAGCATTCATAATAACTGCGTCAACCATCAGGGTTTCAGTATTGCATTCGTCGATTCCTCGGCGTATCTTGAAGTAGCCTAAAGTAATAATTAGTTTCCTTGAAAATGATGTTTCGGTAAGAGTTCGCAAAGGCCCAAACAAAATTACCGCCATCTCCCTAGTCAGTGTTCCAGGAGTTCGAAGCGAGCCAGTATTTCACACCATTCTCTACACCCCATCCTATGAGTCTGATAGGGTGACCTCCTTCCAATTCTCCCCATGTGTGCTGAACTCAATGACAAAGAAAAATCTCTGAAAGCTTTTACTTGCAGCACAAAATCATCATGTTTTCCCAAAGAGGAGTATGTTTCACGCTGCTATTTGCTTGTGTAATTTGAAAATCATTGACTACTTTTTTAGGTTTTTGTAAATCTTTCTTCTATACACTTCTTTTACGGAGCAGGAGAATTTGCTCTTGCAACACAAAGAGTACACCTCCTTTAATTATCTTCACGTTACATATTTCGAAATTTTTGAGCCAAGCATAACCCGTTAAAGAATATGTTTTTACATTACGCAGTTGATAGACTCTAACAACGCATTCAACAAAGCTTTTCTAATCACAGCTTTACTTAGCGCGCGAGCCTATCGATATAATTCAGAAAGCTACATTTGCCAAACCCAAGTAAATGCTTCCATGCTCACAAAGGTTGATTGACCTTATTAGCAAACGTTTTGGAGAAAATTTGGGTGATTCCTTTTATCGTAGATTGCGTATGTGATAGGTGCCAACTGCTCTACCATAGGTGATGAGTATACCAATAAGGAAAGGACCCTCAGTCGAAGTGGGGTTCCCACACGTGATGCATAACATCCTGCTGGTCTTGGGGCACTAATACCAGATCCGTGTTCCTTAGCTGCTCAACGATCTCTAGGGAAAAGTTATGAGGGACGGTTCTCACGATGATTGCTGAACCTTATAAGTCTGGGGCGGCATGAAATGTACAGATATGGGCGGATGGATGGGTCGATTTGTGGAGAATCAAGGCGCAGGTGATGAAGGAAGGGTTGGCGTTCGCTATGGAGCCAAACTTTGAATTTTTGTATATTTCATTTTATGAAATAGTAAGCGATTTTCAACGAGGATTTGTTCGTCGGAAATCGTCCGCAAATTCGCAGAATACAGTTTGCAAAAATGCAAAGCTTGGCTCTATAGGGAATGTGAACTCTTCACCACCTGCGCCAAAGACTGCGCAGCTATCTGCCCGCCCATCCGTCCACACCTGTACCTTCCTTGGCGCCCCGGACTTATAAAGTGCAGTGGTCATCGTGGAAAACCCTAGCTCATAACTTTTCCCAAAAGGTCATTGAGCAGCTAAGGAACACGGATTTGTAGTGCCCCAATACCAGCAGAATAATATGCATCACGTGTGGAAACCCACTTCGACTGAGGGTTCTTCTCTTGTAAGAAAGATTCAAATTTAGCATAGCTTTATAGTGAGTACTCACTACGTATACTCCATTCTTGTAATAATTGAAATCGCTGTAAACGTAGAACGCTGCTGTAACGGGTCCATTCGTGAAGATTTCCTTTCGAATCGCATCTTCGTTCGCAACGACCGAATATGCGGGATCTGCTATACAGCACAACAGAATTACTTTTATTGCTGTTATTGTCGAGACTATACTGCCAATTACCGTAAATCTTGTCGCTGTAATAATCCATGTTATATCCAAACTGACATTGCGCGCGGCAAATTGGCGTTTGTTTGTCTAGACTATTTGTAGGGAACGGGTATGGTTTGCAGCAACTCTGAAGAATATCGAGCAATTATTCCATCCCTTTGAGGGCATCGCCCACCTTTGCATTGTATGGACCACCAGTACATAATCCATAGGTCATTTCATACTGATAGGCTCTGATGGGTATTCCTCCATGACATCTATAAATTATCCATAAGCGCTTTTACTCCAATAGGAAGACTGGATTGAAATCAAGGTGTGAATATAAAAAGCTGCTGGACTTATGTTTTTCTGCTGTATTAATTCCTACCGAAAATATCTCAGTGCTTTCCTTGAAGACAAGTATTTTCCTGACAATAAGTAGTTTGAGAAAATCAGTTCAATCTGAAGGATCTCGCTGAGTGCAATTGTAGTAAAAGTAAGAAAGCTTGCTGGCCAAATTTCGTAAACATAATCAATATCAGAGTGCAGCTTGCACGGTAATACTCTGAGGTAATAATAAGTAATCGAGATGCAATATATTATAGAAACGTCAAACATTGCGCATTTATGCAAACAAAAAAGTTTCGAGAAAAAAGATAAGGATAATTACTATGATTATGCTGCAAAGGCGGTTCTCCTGAACGGGAAAAGGATTTGGTGAACGTGGCCTTTCGTAGTGTGACATATGTCATGATATCCGCCTTAAAACGCTGATCTCAAGACTGTGTCCATTATCTGCGGAAGGATTCTTTGGAACTGTATCTCTTTGCGTCTGACTTGTTTGCAATAGAATAGATATAATGTTGATAGAGGCTAGAAAGTCGAATGTTCTGACGGTTAGCATTGTGTTATTGCATACTGAATGCCAATTTGATCTCTGTCGGTGCGAATTTTGCTTTCGCTTCCCCAAGCGGTACTTTTTCTCAGGTAAGCGTTCGAGTCTTTTTGAATCGAATTTTCGAGCATAACGCTGTGGTGAGGATATAGAAGTTTGTTAATCTTAGGATGAATCAGTGAAAGAGATTGCAAAACATAGTTTTTCTAACAACGAGAATTGAGCCTCGTATAATCCTAATAAAAAAATTCAGTTTTTCTCATGTGTTATACTACGGAAGTAAAAATCTTCGTTTGCTGACAAGCAGATCATTGACAAAGCCGAGCAAAAATGCTGGGAAAAATTACTAACGAGTCAATAAATACACTTTACTAAAGTGAGATTCGAGAAACCCGAAAGTACAAAATAATATTAGGTTGGTGAATGTTCTTTCCCACCAAGTTCAAAAATTCATACCTTGTTGAATTCTCAACGAATTTGCATGATCTAAATTTTGTGTAAGAACGAAACTCATGCTTTTTGCAAATCTACTTGAACTGTTCGTTAATGTGCACAAATGAAGGAGATAGAAACTCAAAACCAAAATTACTCAAAATTTGAATTTTTCGTGTAGGGTCATAAAAAATCGGAAACTTGCGATAAAAATTGGAGCAGTCACTATTGTAGGCTCTCGACTGATTTCAATACTTTTCTTCTGCCGTACAGGTTGTTATAGGTGACACTTTATTGCCCAACGTTTCGGCACAACGCCGTCGTCAGAGGTTTGAAAGGAGTCACTCACTTCGATTCATGATCTTATTGTTAGCCGCCAAACATCTCCTCCCACTCGGCCATTCGAATGGTCTTTAGTGGAAGCAGGAAGTCTGCGAGTAGAGTTTGACTCGCCAGAGTGCCACCGTGATTTGTAGCAGTATCAGCTGCTTCAGATGTGCTTGGACCGACTGCGGTGTTGAGTATAGACAGTCGTGTAAACTGATGCGATGTTGAGAATAAGCAGTCGCGATGTCAACGAACTGCTTAAATAGGACAAATGATCTTATAGTTTGCAATATGTCAGATACGGCATTAGATCTCCAGTTATAGATAATTGTTCATTCTTGTTGTTGATCTTGGGGTCACGGACAAGAATGTAGGACGCTTCGGGGGCCTTTCTAGCGGAGATATGGTCTTCGTAGGCCAAAATTATGCACTTAATGTCGAAATCGGTACCGCTATAATCTATCTTTCTATGCTTTCCTAGCGGACTTATTACGTTCTGCCGCTTTTTGCTAGCCAAATGCTCGTTTACGCGCACGCACAGTGGTCTACCTGTTTCACGATGTATATGGCAGAGCTAAGCATTCTATTTGATACACAACGCCAGACTTCGAACAGTCTCCAGCTTTCCCATAAGGGCAGATTATGCAATTTCGCGTGACACAAGCCCTGTCATGAATTCGATTACGTACCAGTTGTTTTTGATGTTGTCTCGGGGAATATTCACCAAGACAACTTCGTTCTCCAGCTGTGTTCATATCAAGCATTGTCTTATCGCAGTACTGACCTTTTCGGAGATGTAAGGGAGGCACAGAGGCATTTTGTTCATGTTCTGTTCACTTGCCTTTGCTGATGTTTTCTTTGTTCGTCTAGGGCGCATAGTATAACCATTTGCAGTCATTATTTCAGCTGCCATCTTCAGTGATTCCTGTTTTTCCTTTTTGCCGCTGCAGATGTTAACTGCCGTTTTAATCATATTCCGGATTACGGCGCGTTTCACGGCTGTTGGGTGCGCGGATTGCGCATGCAGAAGATATTTTTATTGCTCTCTTTTCTGTACCATTTGACCTGTACCGTGTCGTTTACCACCATCAGCTGCGCATTTAGGAACGGTGGCCAACCGTTGCATGGTTTCTCCCGCGTGAACTCAGACAATCGTCGGGGGCAGGCGGGCACTGGAAAAATAGATTGCTGATTTCTCGCACCCCGCTCGCGGATTTTTTGGAAAGCAATCAGGACTTTTCGGAAGACCGCTTGCTGAGTTCTCGATTCCTCAGATATTCAGCAATATATCTGCAAAAGATAAGAGCGAAAAAAATTCAACAGGCTGTCTCTCAAAAATCCGCTGACTCAGCAAGCGGTCTTCCAAAAAGTCCTGATTGCTTTGCAAAAAAACACGCGAGCGGGGTGCGAGAAATCAGCAATCTATTTTCCCGGTGCCCGCCTGCCCCCAGCGATTGTCTGAGAAGCTTATGTACTGAGATTGCTGATTTAATAGTCTAAAACACTCGTCCATTTCGGGCTGTGTTGAAGTAATGATACAACAATCGTCGATGTATCACAGTACATAAATACATATACTACTTGAATTGTTCGTTAATGTGTACAAATGAAGAAGATAGAAGCTCAAAACCAAAAATACTCAAAATTTGAATTTTTCGTGTAGGGTCATAAAATCGGAAACTTGCGATAAAAATTGGAGCAGTCACTATTGTAGGCTCTTTCACAAGCTCTTTCCAAAAGTGTAAAGTTTGTGCCCCCTGAAAAATGCTAAAATAAATCAAATTCGCCATTTTGTATTGCTTGCTCGAAAATCATAACTTTTCAAAGACACGCTCAATCAGCACAAACTTTGCACTTAGAAAGAGCTGATGAAAGAACCTACAATACCGACTGCATTTTCGTTGCAAGTTTCCGATTTGTTATGATGCTATACGAAAAATTCAAATTTTGAGTGATTCTGGCTTTTAGCTTCAATCTCCTTTATCTGTTCTCGACAGCGAACACTTCGAGTACTCTTGCAAGAGCATGAGTTCTTCTCTTATGCAAATTTAGACCTTGCAGATTCATTGAGTATTCAACAATTTATGATTTTTTGAATTTGGTGCGAAAGAACTTTTGCACCAACCTAATAGTTTCAATAAGGAAGCACTTCAGGTACTAACTTGTGTTTCCGCTTGGGCTTGGAGAATCTGAAAGCATCTCATGCTTTCACTTTGTAAAACAAACTATCTACTCATGCAGCCAGTTTTTGATTATTACAGACCATGTAGGTCTGTTGAAATTTAGTATCGGTATATACACTTGTCCTTAATAATCGAGCATGTAAAGACTGCTTCCTACAAGGCAAACTTATTAAGCGTTTTCAACGCCGCAGACGTTACCGATGTCGTTCGATAAACAACCATTGAAACACTAGACATACCCATAACCACATTCACCACAACATGCAAGAATATCTGTGTCTGAGATTATCCTCTGCAACAAAAGGTGCTTTCTCTCTTATATTTTCATAAATCGACTTTGTCAAAGCTGATCTTGTCCCATGGTTCGTAGGCACAATCTATCAGACATGACTGAAGCTGCAGATACAGCCCAACAAGATCCTAAGTAGGGGTTTGTACCACCATAGCTATCATTTCGAGTTCAATTTACCGCAATTTGCTTGATCTCTGATAGTCTTTATAGAAACGCACTGGGGCCACTTTTCTCGAGCATCGAAATTGTAACGCATGTCATAAAATATTCTGTTCTATATTTTACATAAACTCTGAAAGGAAATCACATACCTTTCTGAAAGATACTCATTCATAACAATCTCCTTTGCTGTTACAGTTCCCTCAGGTTTTTTTCAAAAATTTACTATCCATCAGGTATGACTTGAACTTTTCGTACGACATCGTTGGAACTTCTGCCTGAAAAAACATTGTGTCATTACGGCGTGAGCAGATCGTATGTAACTAAATTTGTTGTTTGTCTGGGTATACCTTGAAGAAATGTTGATTTGTGTTGAGATAATCAACGAGTTTTTGATCCGACATGTGGTTGGCATCTGTGACACATCAGTTTTTTCTGCTGTTTTGTTAAAGATAAATTGCAGCTATTTCACATAAGCTTTCAGCTTCAATGACCTCGAATGCCTTGTACAAATCTAAAGTTCTAATAAGCTGTTACGCACTCACCTACAGACATGCCTGAAGCCGGTATAAAGAATACGGTTAGCAAAAACAGCATTTTGGCCATCTGGAAGCAAATATATAACATCAAAAAATGTTTTCAGCGAGACTTTTTGATAAAAGTCATACAAACTTACTTGTTAGAGTATGGATGGACAGAACCACAACAGTCCACACTGCTTCTTGGTATTTATTTATGCATTTCCTTAACATTTTTACGACTTATACATTGCAATAAAGAGATTAGAGATGAAAGTGATATAGGTGTTTACCAAAAACGAGTCAAAGACTTGCTCCCAAGGGTTTAAAATCAAATTCCTTTGGGGTCGTATCATTGTTTTGAAGAAAAGGGAATGTGTGGTTTTACGCCAAAATCCGAGAAATTTTGTTTAGAGGAATGAATGAATAGCC